CGTTCCCGGCGCGCGAATCGGGGGTCGCTATTGCACTAGTGCCAGCGAATGGAGCACCGCACGAGCTCGCTTAGACGATGGTGAGAATCGGTGTTTATAGGGGTCTGTTTGGGGTCGCGCTACGCCGAATTGTGTGGTGGTGCATCCACCACTACCCTTTGTTCTGCGCGTGCTATCGTTCACCGACAACAGAGTCTTCCTTCTGTTCGCCCAAACATAGCGTTCCTTGTGTGCACCCACTGGCGCTACCTTCCACTGACACAAGCCGCGCAAAAACAGGTTCCTTGTTATTCCTGCACCCGCCAAATTCGGATCCCGGCGAACTTTGTGCCCTCAACGCATAAATCTGACCGTGCTTACAGTTTGCTCCGCTGTTTTGCAGGGTGTGGACACGAATTTGAATGACCCGTTTGACCCGCACAAGAGAGAATAATCCATTGCGCTGATGGGAATCGCATCCGCTGCACCGACGGTTGCATGACGGCGTCGAAGAAGGCTCGGCGAACGGGCGCATGAACCAGGCTATGGAAACTGAACAAGCCGTCGACTTGCATTGCCAGCTACAACACCTGGAGCTGGCCCCGACGACCTCTTCGGACAGTTCGCCGTTCCAACAGTCAGCTGCGGATTTCCCCAGAAAACGAAATCTCGCTTTTCATGAGAGCTTTGGAGGTTGCATCCAACTGCCTACAGAATTGGCAACAACGTCAACGGCCGAAAAACCGTTTGCCTCCCGGATAGAGTTCCACATTCCTGGCGAGGTGCACCCCACAGCTTCGGCGCACAGCAGTTGCAAGCCAATGGGTGTTTCTTACGCATCGTCCGATGACGAGAGTGAGCGGTTGGTGGCCACTGATTACTCGTCTGGACAACGGTCCTATTCCAGTGGACCTTTGCTTCGCGCTAGCTCCAGTACTACGAACTTGGTTGCCACCGACTATTCTTCGGAGGAGTTTTCCACAGCACGGGCGAGTCCAACGCATATGTGAAGTGATGATGCGATTCCAAGTCAGAGCCAGTCTGGGTCGGAATCGTCTGGCAGGGGTGATGCAGATAGAAAGGCGATACTGCAGATTTTGCCCGGACCTCTACCAGGCGAAAGACGAAGGTATAACATGGCTAATAGGAACGTTAGGAGGAAAGAACAGTATAAAAGAGCGAGAAATATGCTGTCCGAAAAAAGACTGCTCATGGTGCGCGGCATGGCATGTTGCAAGGCTCGATGTTATTACGACGTGTCGCCTGAGGAAGTGCGAAAGGTTAGACAAGAACTGTACAGTAAGAGTCCGGGAGAGCGAGCTGAGTGGTGGATGAAAAGTATTAAGGATTTCACAGTAAATGAGAGTGGACAGAAACGTGTCCGCCCTAAACGTGTCCGCCCTGTGGAGTTGGAACGTTCAATGTGCATCAGGGCGTACTGCAATGTACTCGGTGTCTCGCGTAATACATTTTACAGCTACAAAGAGCGTTTTGACAATGGCTACATGCGTTCCGAGCATGGCCTGACGGAAAAATATAGGCCAACCAATAAAACGGTCGCCATGCTTGCCAGCATGAGAACGTTCATCGAGTGTCATGCGGATAGCATGCCGAATGAGGTGGCTAACCAAGGTGAGGTTTCTAGACCGAAGCTTCAACTCCAGGCTGCTTTCACGAAGAGATCAATTTATGAGTCCATACAATCCGACTTTCTGGCTGCTGGCCTCGATGTCGTGTCTGAGTCCAACTTTTATAAGTTGTGTTTTTTTCCACGTTTCCCTCGCGCAATCTTACACTTTCACGAAGTGCGCTGTCTGTCATGAACTGAAGGAACGTATACAATATGCTGCTCTTCCTCAAGATCGAGAACGTGCTCGAGAGGATATGAAAGCACACCAAAGGAGGCAAGTTGAACATAGATTGGACTACAGTCGAGCGAAAACTGATTCCATGGTTCGTCCGAACGAGCGTTTATGTCTCATCATTGACGGCATGGATCAGAAGAAAACAACTATCCCCCATATTGGTCAAGCGAACTACTCGAAAGCACTTAGGCACGAGATGATGATGAAGAGTAATCTGACAGACGTCATTGCACACGACAGAGAACCTAGTATATATGTGTACACGTGGTTTCCGTATTTCAAACACGATTCCAACACGGTCGCTACTTGTGTTATGCGAACCCTTGTCGAAATTCAAGGGAGCGGGACGCCACTGCCACGGTTTTTGCGCATTCAAGCAGATAATTGTTGGCGGGAAAACAAGAACAAGTACATATATGCCCTGGCTGCACAGTTGGTTTAGTTCGAAGTTTTTGGAGAGGTAGAAATAAGTTTCATGTTGGTGGGACACACCCATACAGACGTTGACGCTACTTTCAGCGTTTTCTCAAAGAAAATGAAAGACGTAGACGCTTATACTATGGACGAGTTCTTCGAGCTCATAAAGCAATCCCACAAAAAACCTCCCAAATGTATTTTCCTCGATACGATGGAAGATTGGATTACCGGTATTTCAAAACCGCACTTGCTTAAATTTTTGATGGTTGGAGATAGTCCGGGCATGTTGTACAAGGAGTTTTGCGATGACGAGGAATGGTTGCCCGAGGAAGGTCCGATTTTTTGGTTCAATCAAAACCCCGATGAAAGCTATGCTGGTCCTTCGTGGCCGTTTGACCCGCCTCATGT